GTAGACTGGAGAGTCAGGGAGTGATCAGCAGCCCCGCTCGCCCTTTAATAGCCCCATATGGCCAGTGCGAAAGTCTAATGGAGAATGGAGACTAACAGTAGACTATCGTGGCCTGAATGAAGTCACACCACCATTGAGTGCTGCCGTACCAGACATGCTAGAACTTCAGTATGAACTAGAGTCAAAGGCAGCCAAATGGTATGTCACGACTGATATTGCCAATGCATTTTTCTCAATACCTTTGGCAGCAGAGTGCAGGCCACAGTTCGCTTTTACTTGGAGGGGTGTCCACTTCACTTGGAACCGACTGCCCCAGGGGTGGAAACACAGCCCTACCATTTGCCATGGACTGATCCAGACTGCACTGGAACAGGGGCAAGCTCCAGAACACCTGCAATACATTGATGACATTATTGTGTGGGGCGATACAGCGGAAAAAATCTTTGAGAAAGGAAGGAAAGTAATCCAAATCCTGCTGAAAGCTGGTTTTGCCATAAAACGGAGTAAGATCAAGGGATCTGCACAGGAGATTCAATTTTTGGGAATAAAATGGCAAGATGGACGTAGACAGATCCCCACAGATGTGATCAACAAGATAGCAGCAATTTCTCCACCAACTAATAAGAAAGAAACGCAAGCTTTCTTGGGTGCTGTGGGGTTCTGGAGAATGCACATCCCAAATTACAGTTCGATTGTAAGCCCTCTCTATCATGTGACCTAGAAGAAGAATGATTTTAAATGGGGCCCTGAGCAGCAACAAGCCTTTGAGCAAATTAAACGCGAGATAGTTCATGCAGTAGCCCTTGGACCAGTCCGGACCGGGCCAGATGTAAAAAATGTACTGTACACTGCAGCTGGGGAGAACGGTCCTACCTGGAGCCTCTGGCAGAAAGCTCCAGGGGAGACTCGAGGTCAACCTCTCGGCTTTTGGAGTCGGGGATATAAAGGATCTGAGGCCAGCTATACCCCAACTGAGAAAGAGATACTGGCAGCCTATGAAGGGGTTCGAGCTGCTTCGGAAGTGACTGGCACTGAAGCACAGCTCCTCCTGGCACCCCGGTTGCCCGTGCTGGGCTGGATGTTCAAAGGCAGGGTCTCGTCTACACATCATGCAACTGATGCTACATGGAGTAAATGGGCTGCACTAATTACACAATGAACTCAAATAGGAAATCCCAGTCATCCAGGCATTCTAGAAGTCATCATGGACTGGCCAGAGGGCAAAGATTTTGGAATGTCACCAAAGGAGGAGGCGGTGCATGCTGAAGAGGCCCCACCATATAATAAACTGTCAGAAAGTGAAAAGCAGTATGCCTTGTTTACTGATGGATCTTGCCATATTGTGGGAAAGCATCGGAGATGGAAGGCAGCTGTATGGAGTCCTGGACGACAAGTTGCAGAAACTGCTGAAGGAGAGGGTTAATCGAGTCAGTTTGCCGAGGTGAAAGCCATCCAGCTGGCCCTGGACATTGCTGAAGGAGAAAAGTGGCCAGTACATTACCTCGATTACTGACTCATGGATGGTGGCAAATGCCCTGTGGGGGTGGTTGAAGCAATGGAAGCAGAGCAACTGGCAACGCAGAGGTAAACCCATCTGGGCTGCTGCACTGTGGAAAGATATTGCTGCCCGGGTGCAGAACCTGGCGGTGAAGGTACGTCATGTAGATGCCCATGTACCCAAGAGTCGGGCCACTGAGGAACACCAGAACAACCAACAAGTGGATAAAGCGGCTAAGATTGAAGTGGCTCAGATGGACTTAGATGGGCAACATAAAGGTGAATTATTTTTGGCCCGGTGGGCCCATGACACTTCAGGCTATCAGGGTAGAGATGCAACATACAGATGGGCTCGTGATCGAGGGGTGGACTTAACAATGGACACTATTGCCCAGGTTATTCATGAGTGTGAAACATGTGCTGCAATTAAACAAGCCAAGCGGATAAAGCCTCTTTGGTATGGAGGACGATGGTTGAAGTATAAATATGGGGAAGCCTGGCAGATTGACTATATCACACTGCCGACAACCCGCCAAGGCAAGCGCCATGTGCTTATCATGGTGGAAGCAACCACCGGGTGGCTGGAAACATACGCTGTGCCCCATGCCACTGCCTGGAACACTTTCCTGGGCCTTGAGAAACAGATTTTGTGGCGACACGGCACCCCAGAGAGAATTGAGTCAGACAATGGGACTCATTTCCGGAATAACATTATAGACATTTGGGCCAAAGAGCATGGCATTGAGTGCACCCCTACCATGCACCAGCCTCTGGGAAAATCGAATGGTACAGTGGGCTGTTAAAAACTACACTGAGAGCAATGCGTGGGGGAACTTTCAAGCATTGGGATACACACTTACCAAAGGCCACCTGGTTGGTCAACACCAGAGGATCTGCCAACAGGGCCGGCCCAGCCCAGTCAGAACTTTTACATATTGAAGAGGGGGACAAAGTTCCTGTGGTGCATATGAAGAATTTGCTGGGGAAGACAGTCTGGGTTATTCCTGCTTCAGGTAAAGGCAAACCCACTCGTGGGATTGCTTTTGCTCAGGGACCTGGATATACTTGGTGGGTAATGCGGGAAGATGGGGAAGTCCGATGTATACCTCAAGGGGATTTGATTTTAGGGGAAAACAGCCAGTGAACTCAATTGTATGCTGTTGCCTGCTGTGTAATACTTTTATAGCCCATCAACTAGATGTCTTCAGGTCACCAGCGACTGGCCCTGACTTCCCTCCAACCATCATCCCAACAGAGAATGAATTCTGATAGAACCAGATGAGTTCTGCAGTAAAGGAACGACCATCATCAGCAGGCAACGATCCAATACTGCACACAGCCTTTCCTGCCCTGAAAGATTGTTACAAGAGATGGAACCTGTCATCATGGATCGAACGGACTCGGCAGCATTATAGGGATTGGTCCATGCACTAAGAAAATGATTTTTTTCTCTTGGTCTTTATGTATATGTATGTATATATGTGGGAGAGCGATGGTGTATTGAAAATGTGGGATCTGAGCATGGCGTGAATGGTATGGAATAAGGGGTGGATAATGTCCTGGGTTCGGCAGTAGCAGTCATGTTTCTCCTTTGTGGTAGCTGGTGCAGTGCTGTGTTTTGACTTCCAGCCTGGGAACAGTGTTGGTGAAACCGATGTTTTCGGTTGTTGCTAAGTGATGTTTACCCTGACCAAGGACTTTGTGAGGCTCATGCTCTGCCAGGGAGGAGGGGAAGCTGTGAGGAAGCAGAGCTGAGGCGCCTGACCCGGGCTAGCTAAGGAGGTATTCCATACCACAGCACGTCATGCCCGGGGTGGGGGGTAACTGGGAGTTACCCGGAAGGACACGGGCTTCCGGGTGGGACTCGTTTCTTGGCCGGTGGTACTGTATTCTCTTCCCTTGTTATTTTCTCTTATCATTGTTGTAGTTGGTAGTAGCGGTGGTGATTTGTGTTGTACATTGGTTGCTGGACTGTTCTTGTCTCAACTCGTAGGAGTTGCACCCTTTCAATCCTCCTCCCCGTTCCTCCGGGAGCGGGGTAGGGGAGAGCCCCGGGGGGGAGGGGGGGGGGGCCCTCGATTGTTGTCAGCCCGGCACCACTCACTGGGAGTGAGTGAACAAGTTGCCTGACTGGGTTTAAACCACGACACCCTGCATACCCCGATGACCTTCCTATAGTCCTCACACGTGGTCTGTCCCTTTTTCCACTTGTCATAAATTTCTTTCTTCTATTTGAAATTAACTAGGAGCTGTCTGCTCATCCATGCAGGTCTCCTGCCCCCTTTGCTTGATTTCTTCATGATAGGTATACACTGGTCTTGAGCTTGGAGGAAGTGGTGTTTAAATATCAACCATCTCTCTCGGACTTCCTTCTCTTCTAGAGCCCTATCCCACGGGATTCCTCTAAGTAGGTCTTCGAAGAAACTGATGTTAGCTCTCGGGAAGCTTAAGGTTCAAATTCTGCTTACTGTTTTGCTTCCCCCACGCAGGATCCACCATCTCATAATCACTACAGCTAAGGCTGCCCCCAAGCTTTCCGTTTTCAACCAATTCCCTCCTGATTTGTTAGTACAAGGTCCAGCAACACACCTTTCCTCCTTGGCTCCTCTACCACTTGTAACAAAAAGTTATCTTCCATGATGTGCAAGAACTCCCTGGACTGTGTGTGCTGGGCCATGTTGCCCCTCCAAGAACTAACTGGGTGGTTTAAGTCCCCCAGAAGAACCAGTGCCTTGGACTGTGAGGCTATTTCCAGCTGCCCATAGAAGGCCTCATCAACTTCTTCCTCCTGATCAGGTGGCCTATAGTAAACACCCACAACAGTGTCTCCCATATTAGCCTCTCTGTTAATTCTCACCCATAAACTCTCAACTCATTACATTTAGTCACAGTGGTAAGGTAAAAAGATGAAATGCACAGTTTTACCTGTCACAAGTTAGACAAGAAGTTAAATGAGTTAGCCTCAACAACCCACAGCAGTAATTTCCATTTAAAAAGGTAAACATGCTAATTAGATTACATTTGACTATGGCGTAATGAAGAATATACCTTCCAGAATAGATTTGTTCCTTCCTCTCTCTAATGCAACAAGTCTGTAATACTTCAAGCGCAACTTTGAAACTTCATTTCTCGTTAGCTTGCAAAGAACAAAGAGGTACTTGATAAGGCCCAGCCAGACACCACAGCAACTGCTTTAAAATTCATTCACTTCTGTCCTTTAAGAAGCAGTATCCACGAATTATTCTTGAGGATGGATCTTCACAGTCTGTATTTTAAAACTATTTAGAGCACAGACAACTAAACAAATACTCTTCACTATACTGCATGAATGCAATAAAACAGAACTGCTGACTTTAGTATAGTGTCGATAAACCTTCACAGATCTAATCTTTTACTGGCAAGAGATATCTGTGTTATAAAGCCTAATAGCAGAATCAAGAACATCAGAAATTGTGTTCATTTAGAATATCAAGTGTAAAAAAAGTTATCAACAAGGGACATACCACACTGAATGTCTTCTGATCCAGTTCTTCAGATTCTTCAGATATAGGAACTGGTTCACTAGTTGCAGTAATATGAACTGGAATATCCAACAATGAAACTTTTTTATTTTTTTCTTTATTTTCAGATTTGATTTCATTTACCTAAGAACAAAATATGAAAATGTATCTGATAAGCAAACCTTATTTGGGGGTTGGAATTATACTGCAATTAGGCAATCACTGTAATTTCCGTATTCTCTTCAATAACAAAAAAAAAATCTGACATTCAGTGACAGCACCTTTACTTTTCTCTCTCCAAAGGACAGAGGAGAATGGACAAATTTCTTGTACCCCTTGTACTCTCAAGTCCCACTAAGCTATGCATCTTAAAGAGGCAATTTCCTATTTCAGTTGCCTGCCCTTAGAGTTACAAGCAGCAAAAATAAAACTTCAAATGATGAAAAAGATTTCAATGAAATGAGAGCTGTAAAGTAAATGATTCGAAATACCTTTTCTACTCAAAATCATTCACAGAAACCTGTTGGCCTTTTCTAGTACTATATAAGAAAAATAAACCTAGTTACCTTTACTTCCTTTGCTTCTTTTTCTTTCAGTGTGAATTCTTTTAATTTGTTTTCTCTCTTTTCTTTAATATTTTTTAATTCTTTCTTATCCTCTTTTTCTTTTTTCTCCCTTTTCAAATCCCTCTTATTTTCTTTTTCCTTTGTCTCTCTTTTTTCTTCAGCTTCCTTTTTTATACCAATATCTGGCTCAGGCTTTTCTTCATTTTCTTCTTCTGCTTTTATTTTTTTATGTGGATGCTTCACTGTAACAATCTCATTCTGCAATACATAAGCATATATGTCATCAAATTGATTTCCTAACTATACAAGTTTTGTAACCATCAGATTAAAATGTACTTTTTATCTGTGTGTGATCTCTTTAGACTTTGGTTTAACACCTATCAAATGGAACTGGATGCAGTTATGAAACAAAATGAGGACTACTCATTTCCTTGATGTGACACAAAACAAGTACTGATTGGGCAGGGATAATGGGGGGTGTGAGAAATTAAGTCCATTTAACTTTCAAATCCCCAAAGAAATCTGCTCCTGTAAAAGGTAGTTAAGCTGCAAAGAGCTAAAAACAATAAGGAAGTAGGCATCACAAGACTGAGCTGATTTTTCAGGGCATGGTGATGATTAAAGACCTGTGTTCTGGTTAGCTTTGTTCCAGTAACCTTTTACTGACCACAAATTAAACATTTACAGCTACAGGAAAAGGGAACATAGTTCCAACTTTCTTTTTTTCTAGAGGTGTTCTGAAGAATCTGCTGTTCTTTCAGCTACTTCAAAATCAGAATATTAGGTGCATCATGGCCCCTAAATATCATCTGTTTTTTTTATTGTTGTGTTGGGTTTTTTTATTTCTCTCTAGTGGTTTCTGCTGTGTGATAAATTTAAATAAATGACCCAACAAAAACAGAGGAGTAAAGGAATACATCATAAAAACATAACAAAGTTAAGTGGTCTATTAGTATAATGAAAACTCTGAGATAAACAGAAGCATTTACTAGCATGTCTCAAAACATCATTTATTCGCGCTGTTCTTACTAACCAAGCTTGATTTTTTTTCCTGAGCCTGAACTTAAGTTGCTAGCTGAAGAATCATCATCAGTAGTAATAATGGATTAGTCAGAAATGTTAGTTTTATTTTCAGATGTTACATTAAAAATTGTATTTCTAGCAGATACAATGCTCAAGTCTTTAAAGAATATTGAAATTGCACAATATCACTTGTAACTGGGTGGCAACTTTATTTTATGATATCATAATTTGGAAAACTAATCATAATGTCTGAACTACAAGCTTATTAAATTAAAGTAGATATCATCTTCCATGTGATTATATTGATGCAATATTAGCTACCACAGAAGGAGAATGCCATTCAAGCACTTCAATTTTATTAAGTCAAACAGAAGATCAAACAGAAAGAGCGTTACTAATAGAAGCAACTGAATAGCCATTTTTACCATATGAAGGACGTTTACCTCGTTATCTTCATCAGATTTTTCTGAGGGTGGTGATGAGGAGTCACTTTTTATTTCTTCCTTAATTTTTGCAGCCTTTGTTGCTCTGTTCTTCTTAGTTCTTGTTTTCCTCCTCTTTAAATTGCCCTGAATGCAAATTAGTACCTTTAGTATGTCAACCAACAAGTGTCTTTGAACCACAGTTGCAGAAAAAGATTTGGTTTTTATGTTAAAGAAAGCATTAATTTTATTTATTGCCACTAATGACCACGACTTTTCTCAGGACTGGAGACTGAGCCTAATGTAACAGTAGAGAATATACACAAATAAGAGAGAATAAAACAATATTAAACTTGCAATTCACTCCTTGAATTAGCCTCATATAATATAATTAGCAATACAGAGAAAAATTACACAAAGCGAAGAAGAGTGGAAGTAAGAATAAAACAAGTATCTGCTGACATGCCCATAAACATTATGTTATCTCGGTACTGAATATCAAGCTTTACTTACTACACCAGTAAGTCTTTGTGCTTCTTTTCTTGCAAGGTCTTTATTCAGCAATTTAATGAGGTAATCTGCACGGGTCTGTAACTGCTTGGCTTGGGGTTTCTTATCTGGATCATCAGGTAAAATCTGAGAAAAGCAATGGTAGCATCGACTAAAAGTACACATTATCAAATTAGGAAGCTGCTAGTCTTGAACACTGGGAACAGGAAAAGCTGAATTAAAAAAAAAAGGTAAAAAAAACCCCAATCCAACTATAACTGACCAATATGCCAACATGCTTCAAGGAATGAAAAATTTCTGAAATGTTTTATTTTTTCCCCAAACACACAAATAATGTAGTCTTGGAAATGATCTCACAAAGTTTACAAGAAACTAGCCTCAGATTTTTGTTTCCACTCTCATAATTTATCTAAAAAGTGCAGAGCTCCTGTATTACTGTCATACATACACAGGTCTCCTAGCTCTGCTTTGTTTCCACTCTCATAGTTTATCTAAAAAATGCAGAGCTCCTGTATTACTGTCATACACAGGTCTCCTAGCTCTGCTTTGTGCGTCTAAATGCATTAACTCATTAACACAGGATATTTCAGAAGCCAAAAATATAAATTAGTGGTTTCATAAAACAAGCAACTAAATGGAAGGCAGGGGCAGGATATCATTAAACAGCTTTGTATACAACCCTGGCTCCTCAAATCCCAAAGTTACAGGTTGCTGGCAATGTCACCGAGTTTGCTTCACTCCAGTCTTTCCCTATGTTTCTCACTACTTCTAAGCAGCTATTGCGCTAATTCTAATATGATGAGTATAACTATTCTCATGTTGCGAATGAGTTTCAAGCAAAGAAACCAGGGACAGGAAAACCAAAGTAAAACCCCAAAACAACCTTCCCTCCAAAAGATCGAGAATAAAATTAACAAAACTAGAGCATTTAAACTAGGGAAGCAAAAGATAGAAGAGAAAGAACCCAAGTGACAAGAGATCCAAATAAATAGAAATACAGAAACATAACAGGTTCTAAGAAGGCATACATCAACTGAATACACAAAATCTTGAAATCTAATAATTTACCAGAATACAAAGGAGTACAACTGACCTAACTTCTGTGCATTTTCAGTTATCATAAAATAAGCTCTTTCAGTAATTGTTCTTTTAGCATTGTTACCTGTAAAAAAATAATAATAAAAAAAAAAAATCCTTGATGAAATTTTGTAGATGACATACCTTCTGTGTCAAACTGAGATCAGGGTCCATTTTTATCATTTCCCAGCTGCCATAGCCATATTCATAGATACCTATTAACAGATTGGAATCATCTTCCTTACACCAATCAATATCAAAATGAGCTGCCTTAGTGTGGCATGGGATGACATACCTAGTAGAAATAAATTAGAAAAATAAATGAGCAATCTTCTCAACCTTAGCAAGGGAGAGAGGAACATGCCACACAATACCTTTTCCTTTCTTCTGGATCTGAAGGAATGGATTTGTGCAATGGTGCCAACTCTTCTTCATGAGAGATGACTAGCTTTGCGTTCACCTGCACTCCTGATATTCGGAATGTTGGGCCTTTAACTTTCCCAAGTCTACCCACTTAAAATAAAGGACCAAATTATTAAAATATTTAGCCACTATGTGTATATTATAAACAAGCACAAAAAAAAAAAAAAAGTTCGATGCTATAGCAGCAGACGTTCAATTCTAGTAAAAGACTTCTTCATAATCAAATGCTTTAATTAATCTCCAGAATCTCAAGGTCTTTCAGATAATAATAGAAGACTAATTTTAAATTTCACAGTAAAGCAAAAGCATGCTGCATTCTACTGCGATGATTCACTTAGGGAAAAGGGGACAATAAACAAAACTAAAGAGTTTTTACTACAATAATTTTTTCTATATCACCTAGCATGTTAACACTTTGTTAATCTTTTCCCCTAACACTATTGTTTTGTTCTAATCAGAGTGAAAGAATTATTATCAAAATTATTAAATTGTTATTAAAATTAATAATTAAATTATTATTTAAAATTAATTAAATTATTATTAAAAGTAACAGATCTCTTGACAATTTTTATTCCTCTCCTCCACCCCCCCAAGCACACTTTACCTGCTCTTTCCTGTCCAAAGGAATTGTCATTTAAAGCCTTAATGCATCCATTATGTAAAAGTTCTCCCAGCCGTCTAAGGTCCATCTCAGATTTATCAACTAGCTCAGCATCTCTAGCTATAGCATCTAACCTGTAAGAAAACAAATATGTCTTTACAGCTCTAAAACTTTAATATTATGAATGAGTCCTTCAGATTTTGAAATTAGAGAAGTGAACGTGTAATTTATCATTCACCCACACTTGCTATGCTGTGTACAGTTTTCATCCATGCAGTTAAAAGCAGCTATAGAAAAGAATATAGAAACTATAAAAAAGGGTGTTTCACATAGAGGACAATACAACAGGAACTATAAAGGTCCCTAACTATACAGTTTTAAGTTATATTACTACACATTCTTTCAAATAGAAAAGGAACTATATAATAAGATCATATAGGCTATAAATACTATTAAAGAAAATGAAGGTGGGAAGTTATTCTCAAAATACAGAGTAATACAGAAAGCTTAAAATAAGAACTGACAATGAGAAAAATGCAAAACTAGCAGTTAGTCTGTTGAAAGCCTATGGGTTTATCCATTGTTATCAAACAAGAAAACTGAACAATTGTCACTAATGTAGACTGAACAAGACAGTACATGAAGTATAAAAAAACCCCAAGCAGTCTTACAAAATTTAAAGATTGAACTGGCTGTCTACATACATGCCATGTATGAAGAAAGGGAAAAAAAAAATTAAATTCATGTTATAGTCAAGGCAAAAGATTAAGCACACCATTTTCTCTTCAGCCTAAGGTTTCTTGGTGCACTGTTCTAATTTTAATGAAAACAAGGTTTTAAGTTGCTATACAAATATAATAAAATAAGTTTACCTTTCAAGTGGGCCACCAAATTTTTTGTAACTCTTGATAAATCTAGTAACAGAAAATAATTTTGCAGTTAAAAAATGTATGCTTAACTACACTGGTTTTAAAAATGTATTTGTAAAGTCTTAGTACAAGGAACAATGTGGACAATGCAAAGAAAATAAGAACTAGAGAGCAGGACAGCTTAGTATACCAAGATAACCCACATTTAAAGCCAGTTCTATTTGGTTTAATAAATGATGCAAATAAAACAACAGAAGATAGAATTTATTTCAAAAATTACTAATTAGTTTCAGAAGACAAAAAATTCAGCAATGTGATGTGTCTAATAAAAAAAAAAACAAATGTGGATTTACAGTAAATTGAGAGATCAGAGATTATGTTAGGCCTCTCATAATAAAGAGGAGCTAGCTACAACTTTAAGGTGATTTTAAGACTTAAGAAAACATAACATGAAAGATAAAGGAATGCAAGCACAATACCCCAGACAAAAGCAGCAAACAAAAAGCTGCTTTTTGTTTGACAAACATATGACAAAAAGCATATGTTAGATGAAAAGGAAACAAGGGTCTTTAAGGCTATTTATATAATCAAACATATTTTATAAGCTTTACATTATTTTAGAGAAGCATGAATGCTTGAATTCCAGAAGCAAAGTAGCATTTCACAAACCAAGCAAAGTAAAGCAAAATAATTTCTCCTCCTTCTATCACAGAAGCATTTTTTAGCACCAAATATTGATGGGACCAGATGTACAGATTCAGTTATGTACTGTTTTTTGTTTAGATAAAGTTAATTTTCTCCAGGGCACCATACCTGCTAGTATGTTTTGGATTTTTGACCAAAGCAGTATTGCTAACACAGGGATGTTTTTGTTATTGCTGAGCAGTGCTTACACAGAGTCAAGCCCTTTTCTGCTCCTCACACCATCCCACCAGCAAGTAGGCTGGGGGTACACAAGAAGTTAGGAGGAGACACAGCCAGGACAGCTGACTCCAACTGACCCAAGGGATATTCCACATCACATGATGTCATGCTCAGCAATAGAAAGCTGGGGGAAGAAGGAGGGAGAGGGGACGTTTGGTGTTATGGTATCTGCCTTCCAAGTAACTGTTATGCATGATGGAGCCCTGCTTTCTGGATATTACCTGCCTGCTCATGGGAAGTAGTGAATGAATTCCTTGTTTTGCTTTGCCTATTAAACTATCTTTATCTCAACCCACGACTTTTTTTCTCATTTTTACCCTTCTGATTCTCTCCCCAATCCTTCTGGGGAGACTGAATGAGCAGCTGTGTAGTGCTTAGCTGCCTACCAAGGTTAAACCACAACAACTTATCAAAATTGATTATTTTTTTCTTTTAGTTTAAAAATCATTATATAACATGAATTCAATTACAACGGCAAGAAAATTAAAACAAAACTCACTAAATCTTTTGTAGGCATTTCCACAAAAACATGTCTATTGTTTCTTCAACTACAGTTTTTAGGTCAAACGATGGGAATTTCAATATTTTGTTTGTGGGGTTAAAAAATAAACTCACCCATTTTAGAAACTGAAACTGTTTTTTAAAATCACTGCCTTCAGGGGATACAGGAAGAATAATACCTATTAGAAGACTGTAAAACAACTGGAAACATTTTTCAAACCAAATGTCCGAATTATGGACATAACAGTTCCTTATGCTAGCACCCCAAACTGCAGAGTAAAGCCTTAAATGCCTAGAATAAAACTTTTTAACTAAGTTCAGGATAACCAGACTGTTTTCCACATTTTCAAACTCTAAAATTATAAAAAAATATGTTTTGTCCCTTTAAACATGCACGTCCCTCCCCCCCATCTTACCGCCTAATCTCTGCATCGCTAAATCCTTTAATATTTTCGCGAGGAATAGTTCGTGGTCGTCCACGTTTTCTTGGTCGTTTTCTTTCTGAGATGGAGTCACTATCAGATCCGGAATATCTTCTGCTCCTACTGTGTCTCCTTTCACTTCCATTAAAGCTGATCTGGAATTTCAGGTTAGGTAGTTCAAAGCTATGTGACCAAAACATTTTTTCAATGTGTTATCTAGCCTGCCAAAAATGAGGGAGGGAGTAGGCGTGGGGGGTGTCATGTGTGAAAATCACCCAACCCAAAAGTACAAGCCAAAAGAAGAGTAATGAAAAAACAAACCAACCATCACCACCAACAAAAAACAAAGTTAACTGGTCAAACCCCAGAGATACCTGTTTTGCACAGTTTCTCATCCTTGGGAGCATATATATTTCTTCGAGCTCTTTTTGTCTTTCCTCCTCTTCTATTCGTCGCCGCTGGACTTCTGGAATGATTTCTTCCCAGTTTCTTAAATTTTGTTCTGGTTCCAACTCAATGTCATCTTCATCCATATTGGAAAAGTTAGCAACCTTATGTATTGGAACGTATGTATTTTCACCAAATTAATACATGATTTTATTTAAACAAAGAGTCAGTAATTAATATTTTAGGAAAACTTAGTCCAGAATGGCATAGTTCATTTATTTATATATACACAAAATGTACACATATAAAATGCTTCATGAAGCACTGTCTCTAATGAAAGTATTTTCATATATGAAACGCACATACTCCATGCAACGTGGCTGAATATAAAGATGAGAATCTAAAATAGAAGCACTATGAAATGCCTCCCCAATAGTTGTGATTATTATTTATTTCCTTCAAAGCAGAAAGCAAGTCTAACCAAACGCCTGAGTTAATATGAAATTATAATAATACAGAAAACACAATATATTGCAAATGAATGATTAGGAAAGTGATTTAATACTCTACTGATCTAAAAAACCTCCTGCACTGCTTTAAACAAAACCAAGCAAAACCACACCACACACACCAAACCTAAACAACAACAACAAAAAGATCCCCCCCCCCCCCCCCCCATGCCCTCACACACAATTTGGACCCACTTAATATTTTAAATGTTAAGTGTTAAGCATTCTTTGGCATTCATATTTACATGGGGGCTGAAAGGAATTTCTAAAAGTCATAAACTAAGAAATCCAAACTTTATTCTCTGTTTTCAGAAGTACCGCTTCTGAAAGTGCTAAGTGGTGCTTAGCTCTGTTCCCAGGCTGAAAGTCAGAACACAGCACTGCACCAGCTACCAAGAAGGAGAAAAATGACTGCCACTGCTGAACCCAGGACAACAGCATAAAGCATTAAATGAAAAACAGCCCTCCTCAGTATTGCAACAACTGAATCAAAGACTAATGTATTTGTAAATCTCTTTCTTATTTTGTTAGGAAAATATGCCATGTATTTTTAAATGCTTGCACTGGCAGTAATTACCCTGTATAAGTGAAAAGACATTCTATGCCAAAGAGTTGAGTTGTTGCTGCACCTGTTTCATAAGAATGAGGATGAATAGGAACAGAGCAATACCTTGAACTGTGAAAGCAATTCATCTCCTACAGTTATTGGGCCTGGCTCATTTTCTCGAGTTTCAGCCCTCTTCAGGATTTCATCTATATCCATTTCCTGAAACAGAAGTTTCTCTTTACAACAAAACAATTCATATGTATTTGTAGTTTCTCTGTCCATCAAGTGTAGATGAAGCATTTCATTTACCTGAGGCTCCTCTTCTTCCCCTTCAGGTTCTTTAAAAAGTTCCTCAGCACCGAACTTCAAAATTGCTGATAATTCTTCCTTATTAAAAGGTGTTGAGCTGAAATACAGAACATTTCAGATAAACACTTTAATTTTGTGAACTTTTTTAAATTCCTATAACCCCGAGTCAATAAAACTACTTTTTGACTTAAATAAATGCTATATTTAATATGTAAAAACATATGTACAAAGACAATATATTTAATATGTTTTGCAGTCTTTACTTACATAACTCCTTACCACATATTTTTTGCTTTTATTAGCCAAGTGAAATGACTTGCATTTTTTACTCAAATAGTCAGGCATACTTAAGCATAAATATGAAAGAATAAACAAATATACCTGGAAGGAGTAGAGCCTGTATGTAGTACAGTTTTCCCTGTAGTGTCCATTCTCTGAATTACTAAGTGATCTAACACCATCTTTTTCTTGGCTCTTTCAAGAATGTCTTCTTCTACTGATCCTTTCGTGACTAGCCGATAAATATTAACCTATGCATCATAAAAAAGGCTTTATTTACAAGCTCATAAATCGAGCAACAACAGGGAGAAAAGTTAGTTGTGATTACAAATCTTCTAAATCTTACTAAACTAGTATTTCATATATGAAACCAGTCAATCATGTTACCACAGTTTCTATATAAATTATTTAAAAAAAATAAAAGAAGGAAATCCTCTTTAAACTTCTGTGATTAGGCACAAGCATAGCCACAAGGAAATGTGTTATAACTGATTACTATTTGAAGTCTTTTGCAAGAAAGAAACCCAAAGAGAACTATGAAGTATTTAAGTAAAATGGATGCGCCTCAAATACAGCAGCTATTTTCTAGAATGACATGATGCAAATGAACATGGGACAAGTCCACAACTCTTCTCCCTACCCATCCATATCCTATGGCCACTGTGCAATCTCTCCATATAGAATCATAGAATAATTAGGGTTGGAAAGGACCTTAAGATCATCTAGTTCCAACTCCCCTGCCATGGGCAGGGACACCTCACACTAAACCATGTCACCCAAGGCTCTGTTCAACCTGGCTTTGAACACTGCCAGGGATGGAACATTCACAACTTCCCTGGGCAAGCCATTCCAGTGCCTCACCACCCTTACAGTAAAGAACTCCTTCCTTATATCCAATCTAAAATGTTCAATGTGAATTTATTTCATTACCATGTCCTGTCAGGGCAAGTAACCCTAATGCACGTTGATTACTTTCTCAACAGTTCCCGGAACTGCATTTGAAGGAGCCAAGTCATCCTCCCTGATCCCTCCGAGTAGACTGGCTTTATAAAAAAAACCCAAACCAAGCAAAACACAACAAAGAAACCAAACGAATAAGTCCTTCTTCCCTATAGCTAAATTATATAATAGCAGTCTTCACCCTGGTTAAAAATCTTCTTTTAAGGAGTAATTAGCAGCAAAATTACCAGTAAATAACCACACATTTCTGCTAGCGTATGCCAGCTGTACTTTTTCTGAAGTCAGACCTTTTTCAAATCCCAGTCTCTGGCTCCTCAGAGGTAGTAAGCAGTTGTTTCACTAGCTTAGATACAGTGACACTGAGAACATGTCCCATTTCACAGAACTGCACAAACTTTCAAATAAATTACCCTGTCACTTCCCCAAGAGTATCAGTTATAAAATCAGACTGACACAGTACCGCAGCAGATCCAGTGAACAACCATCCCAGCGTTCTTCAAAGTACTTAGTTTATCTTCACCTTAGAACAGAAATCTTCAGCTGCCTGAGAAATCAATTTGGTCTTAAGAGAAGACCTTTGATTCACATCATATTATTTAAGACTTCTTAATTTTTATCAACATTTCCAACCAACTGGATTTTCAGCTGTCAATAATTACCTCTCTTATTCCCTGAGATTCTAGGGCAAGAGCTTGAAACTCATGATTCATCTCATGCACAGATTGAACCTGGGGCTGGCCAATTCTTTTTAAAGGCAAATTAGCATTATTAAAAGTTTTTTAGAAATTCTTGGCAAATATTAGTTATTTTCAAAATACATGAGGACTGCAATCGCCCAGACAGACAGCTTATGGCTACCATATGAAATCTTCCTTTAAGTTTGGAGTTTAAAAGACAAATCTGCATACCTGTTTCTTCTGTCCAATCCTATGAGCTCTAGCCTGTGCTTGCAGATCATTCTGTGGATTCCAGTCAGAATCAAATATTACTACAGTGTCAGCAGATGCCAAATTTATACCTAATCCTCCAGCTCTGGTAGACAGCAAAAAGCAGAAGTCCTGAAATTATAAAACAATAAATAGCTTTATATATATAAGATGTAATATTCTTCAAGGAACCAATATGACACTTCTTTATTATATGCTCTCTAAAGCAGACTATGAACTCATACAATTCTTTAAGTATGTCATAAATATTTGTTAGACTTGTAATACAATAAGGTGCTTGTCATGGCTAGAGCCAGTAGATCGCTATTAGAATAGAATAGACTAGATTATTTCAGCTGGAAGGAACCTACATCAATCATGTAATCCAACTGCCTGACCACTTCAGGGTGGACCAAAAGTTAAAGTATGTTATGAAGGGCATTGTCCAAATGCCTCTTAAAAACTGACAGGCTTGGGGCATCAACTATCTCTCTAGGAAGCCTATTCCAGTGTTTGACCACCCTCTCAGTAAAGAAATGCTTCCTACTTCCTAATGTCATGTCTGAACCTCCCCTTGATGCAGCTTTGAACCATTCCCACATGTTCTGTCACAGGATACCAGGAAGAGATCAACACCTCCTTCTCCAATTCCCCTCCTCAGGAAGCTGTAAAGAGCAATGAGGTCGCCCCTCAGCCTCCTTTTCTCCAAACTAGACAAACCCAGAGCCCTTAGCCACCCCTCATAGGACATGCCTTCCAGCCCTTCCACCAGCTTTGTTGCCCTCCTCTGGACGCATTTGAGGACCTTCACATGGAATATCTCTTTGCTTAGTTCGGGTCATCTGCCTGGTTATGTCCCCTCCCAACCTTTTGTGTACTGCGCAATCTATTCACTGGGGGGAGAGTGAGAAGGCCTTGACACTATGCAAACGCTGTCCAGCAACAGCTAACACACTGGTGTGTTATTAATATTGCTCTGTCACAAAACTAAACCACAGCACCATACAAGCTGCTATAAAGACAATTAACTCCAGCCCAGCCAGACCCAGTATAAGTATAAAGCAAACTGATATCAATTACTGACTTCTCTGTGGTTTAATGGAAGCAGCATCCTAAGATGAGCAAAAGCCACTTGGGGAGAAAAAACCCAAGCAAAACACTGGCCAGAAATACAACCCCCCTTGTTGTTAAGCCTTATGTGTGCTCAAGTCTCTCTGCTTTTTTGTTAAGAGAAAATTAGGTGTTCTGAAGGGGTCAGTGCTCTTCAACATATTCATAAACAATATGAAAATGAGATGAGCATGAGCAATGGGGTGACAAAGTCTGCAGATGATACGGAGTTATTCAGGGACAACTAAAAAGGACTACAGAAGTATCTTATGTGACAGGCAATAAAAAAGCATATGAAATTAAATAGTGAAATAGAAAATAAATTTGAGTTTTAAATACAGCAAAAGTTAATAGCAAGCCATTACTGCTTAGGAATAAGTCCTTGGAGTTGTCATTGATACTGTCATTAATATTGTAGATCAGTAATAGAAAAAAAAAAAGAAAAAAAAAGATGGCTTTTTATTGATTATTAGGAAATAAATAGAGAATATAACAGGAAATAATTTTATTGCTGCACAACTCCATCATTTGCCTCTATTCTTTAATACAGTGTGAAGTTTGGATCCCCCCTTCATCTTAAAAAACTGTACAGTACAACTACAAGGATTCCAGAAAAAGGCAATGATGTCTAGACTAGATATTTAAAATAGAACCAAATTTTGTATTTAACAAATACCTGATATTTATGTTATGAAATTAAGTTCTTCCTCCATAGCAGAAACATAAGCTCAGCAGCAACTGACAAATGCTATGCTCCTATTGCTGAAAAACCGTGTCAGTGCAGGACAAAAGACCTAAGATTATCAAAGGTATGGAATGGCTTCCATAGTAGGAAGCCTAAATAAAATAGGAATCTTAAGTGGTATACAAACAATGGCTAGAAATCAGTTTTTCAGTTTCTTCCGGGGCAAGGAAATAACAGGTAAAAAATTAAGATAACAGAAGCCAGATTAGCTCTTTTAAGCTAATAAAGATAGCTTTTCTTCATGCAAAGATATACACATCGCAATTCTGCCCATTGCCTAAGTAGGGTTTCAATGTCAAAAGCTTGTGCAAAAGTTTCGTGCTCCTATAAAAATTGAAGGATTAAGTCCTACACAACAAAATAAATTCAATTATTCCATTTTTATACAGTACTTAAAATTACTTTGATAAAGAGCATTGACAAAAATCTAAAAAAAACCAACCAAAAACCAACTATGTATTTATATTAGTTACACACCATTTTCATAAATTCCGTGTTTCCTATTTAACCTCCTCTTAGTTTTGGTTGATTTTTTTTTTTTGGTTGTGGGTTTTTCTGTTTGCTTGCTAAGAGTTGTAAACCTTATAGTCTAGGCAACAGAAATAGAATTTCAATGCAATACATCCCTCACTTTATTCTATATTCAGGTTTTGTGTAATATATGTTATATTTCTTGGGGAAAAAAATTAAAGCTGAGTAGATTAAAAAAAAACAACACACCCACTAATACCATACCTCTGATCCTTCTGCATTAAAATGATCCAGGGCTTGTTTCCTCAATTCTCCTTTTATTGATCCGTCAAGTCTCTAAAGATATTGAATAACATAATTAAAAAGGAACTACTACTATATTCTAACTGGAGCAACTTGAAATCTCAATTGCCAAAATGGGGGGAGGGGGGGAATAAGAGTAATGCAACAATCTTTCTAATTCATCAGTTTTGTTTCAAAATACTATTTAGCATAGAGTAATTGCCAGTCTTTTCCTATACATAAAATAAAATTTTCATAAATCTTTCTTCAAAAAGGACACTTAAGATAAAGTGGTAATGATCAAGGCTTCTTGGTGACTACCAGCAAAATTCTTACCTGAAAGGGAAACTGACGATACTTCAAATACTCCGCTAGGATGTCTAGCATTCTCACCATCTGAGAGAAAATCAGTACTCTGTTGCCACGTTCTCGTAGACGAATCAGTAGCTTGTCAAGAAGGATTAGTTTCCCACTGCTACGTATTAAATGCTACAAGACAATAAAATGTGTACTGCAAAATAAGTTCACCTCAACACTAACATACACTGCAGATGGTTAGACATTCATTAACGGGACATGAAAGTTTAATAAGTATTTAGTCAGTCCTGATCTTGTAAAAACTCATAAAAGCACTGAGCACTCTAAGTGAAATCAACAGGAGTACTGACTAGCATGTTTTTCAAATAAATGCATTTCTCAGTTCTGGCTCATAAAACCGCATCTTAACATTTCATTAAAATGTTAAGTAAATATAGTGTGCTACGAGTTAGAGCAGTTACAGTGTAGACTCAAGTTCTTTTCTAACAAATAAACAACAACAGACTACCTGACTACCTTAGTACTACTTGCTCCTCACTTCCTTTCTTTTGAACAGAAATAAGCACTGCTACTTGACCTGCTAAGTAATTTTAAACAATGCCTAATCAGTCAGGTTCCTTAGGCAAGATAAAAGTGAGAGCAATCTTGTTTGTAGAGGGCAACAGGCTTTACCTAGGTTACAATGTTAACTCTTCTCAGCTCCAGCGGGAACAACTAGAAGAGAAACTCATGTGCACGCTGAATTTAATGTTGGCAATATTAGGCCTCTTTAGCTGAAGAGGCTCAGGATAGAATTTTGGGGAATAAAAAAATTTGGAGTTAGGTGCTTTTATTCTTTATGCCAGAAATAAGAAGGATGTATCATTCATAACTGGAGCTAACAAAGATTATTCAGATGAGACAAGGAAATAATTGTTACAAGTATGCAATTATTAGCAATAATTTCTGAACACTTCTGATGAGTTTAGCTACAAATTTAAGTAGTTAGTGTGCCAAGTTACAAATGAAACATCCTTTAGCTTTGATAAGCACTTTATAATATAAAATAGCTTGTGCAGCGACAACTTGTGATTTCAATCTAGTAGTTTTTAGAAAGTATTTAAATTATGAACTTCAAAGGTCACAGAAAAAAAACCCTGATCTTTAGAAACATTTATGTTGTTATAAACCGCATCAATTATATTACTGCATGCATAGTAAAAGGTTTTTTTTAAAGGTATTACCTGTAAGGCCTCCTGTTTATTACAGAATTCATTATCACCTGGTGGTTTAATGAGGTAGCAATGGTTACAACACTTCTTGAGTTCCATCATGATGTTCAAAAATCCTGAGGTACTGCCTTTTGAACCTTTACTCAGGGCTTTATAATTCCTGGTTAAAATCCACCTATGATATAGAATGTGCAATGAAAGTAATTTCTAACCATTTGTGGAAATAGGAAGGATGTAAGCTCTCAAAATACCAGTTCAAATTGCATTATGAGAACTATTACACTTCAGAAATTTTCATATAGATATATCATTAAAATTGCAGGAATTAAAAAGTGTCATTACTTACTTGTAATATTGCTTCTGTAATGCACTCATTTCCATCCTCAAAATCTGTTCAACCTTGGCAGGTAAAGATTTTTCTACATCTTTTTTAACTCTTCTGAGTAGAAATGGTTCAAGTTCTTTGTGAAGACTTGCATAACCAAACTCTCTCCCTTTGCCATGCTCCTCTTCAAAATCTTCCCAGGAAGAAAACCTTCAACATAAGAAAGAATAAAGGTAAAATAGTGACATACCATGAACATCATAGACACACAAAGACCATAAATATACCACATGTGCACAAACACATACGGACTTCTTCCCCACACCCGTTTTATTTAATAAGTTTGTGAATTTGCATCTCACAAGAAATTCCAAATATTTTGCATGCAAATAAGAGAATGGAAATTTCCAAAATTTTGCAGAATGAATATTCAAAACAAACTACTGGATTTTAACTTCTGCAGCAAAAACCCAACATTATACTTTTCTGCATGGTAGAAGGTTGCAGAAATTCCATTATATTTCTAAAGATCAGCATGAAAAATTAGTTGCATAGCTGGAGGAAGTGCAAGAGAACGGACCGCATACCTTTTGCAGCTTGTATGGACTAGATAAAATGTAATTATTCTCTGCCATGTGCTAACAGACTAAGACAATGGACTTTGCGATCAAATAAAGAATAGGTGCCAGACAACAGATTTAGTGGCCTTGCTTGTAAGGTTCTGAAGAAGTGAATGCAACGCATAACTCCAAATCTAATTGGAACTACAGTGCTATGTATTTACAAGCTATCCAAAAGGAACATGTGATCTTATTTATCTCGGATATAAACAGAGGTCAGTGTAGAGTAACATCAATACAATAAACCTATACTATGCAAACTATAAGGGCAAATTCACTGCCTGACTGAACTACTGGATACTTGGATACGGACAGTGTAGTGCAATCTTGTTTTCACTCATGGTACTAAGAAAAGAAGACATTCCCAGCCCCATTCTATTTCCCTAGAGTAAATCCATGTGAGTTTCCTTTTAGATTAAGATGAAACGTCTTTTCAGGTTTGAGTCATGCATCAATCCTTTTTTTTTTTTTTTGGACTGCTAAAACAGCTACCAACAAAATTATCAGGAGCAGAATGAAAAATGTGTTCAATTATTTTATATAAAATATTTAAACTATTTCACAATGCAATTCTTTATCTCTGTTAACAGATTATCCAATCACTACAATATTCCACTGTAAGAAACTTGACCACACACACAAAAAAATTTCACGTTCCTTACTTTTCTGGCATGATGAAGTGCAGCAAAGACCAAAGCTCTCTGAGGGAGTTTTGTAGAGGGGTTCCAGTAATAAGAAGACGATGATTAGACTTAAAGTCTATTAAAGTCTTATACAGAAGGGAATCATCATTTTTTAAACGATGAGCTTCGTCAACTCCTATAAATACCCAATGCAGACCACCAAGGAATGACTTAAAGAAATTGGGGGTGGGGGGGAAACATTATACAAGTTAATATATTATGCAGTTTCTGATATTTTACATGAGGTTATATATACACCATCACTCCTTTTATTTTAATAATGAATGGACACATGTTTTTAGTATTAATTACGGTTTTTATGTTTGCTAGATTCAACAAAAGGCTATGCAGGCATCCCATGTTTATACTTGGGGGGGAGGAGGTAGGCAAAAAACTGATCTATACATTTCCAATTGACAAAAGAAAAAAAATGTTAAAATCCACTATTAACTATCTTCTTTCCAGCATGTATGAACAAATGAAATAGAAAGCCAACAAGCAACCTTTTAAATTAAAATTTTCATATGCTGTTAGGATTAACAATAACTCTATGTGCTACTATCATGAAGAGAGTAGTAATATAAATAATACTGCACACGCAAATACAAAGATAAAACATGGGATTTCAGAACTGTGAATCACAGGTGTTTGGGGCTAGGGATTGGTTTGATTTTTCAGTTCCAGGGTGATGGCCTAACAGAGTAGAGATTTTGAGATGCAAAGAAATTACAGCAATGTGAAGCTCAAGCAAACTGAAAAAAAAAAGTTTAACCCACTTGATGGGGGGGGGGGGGCAGAAAGCCTCACCATATATACATGAATCTAGAAGTGCTTAAAGAAAACATCACTGTCATATTTCCAAGAGTAAAGTTGTCATACTCCCCATCCATTTAATGGCCCAGAACCCAAATATGTGCCAACTCTAAAGGAGTTTTACATTCTACAAATTATCTCCCTGAAGACGTGTGATTACCTTATCCTTCAGCAAAATTTCATAAGTTGTTAGAAGTATATTAAATTTTAATCGTTTTGTCTGTGGATGCATCCATTCATGAGTTCTTATCTACAAGAAAAATCAAGTGAACTATAAGGTAGAGAAAAATGGTCTTATTGATCGGGATGACTTCAGGTACTACAGCAATATAGATGTTAAGTGACATATAAGACTCTTATCACAAAAAAGGAACACAACACATGAAGCTTTAAAAAAAAAGTTATTCAACAGTGGTGGTGGGGTGTTTGTTGATTTTTGTTTAGTTAGGTTTTTTGGGGTTTTTTTTTGGGGGGGTTGCTTTTTTTTTTCAACCTTTAATGGATAAGGTTACTTACATTCCTCCTTTCAGAAAACAAATTAAGATTGCCTGTCTGGATTAAATATTTATTTTATGCACCTAAATAATCACATGACAAAAGACAATTTATTTTCAAATGCAAGGTCGCATTTTTAATTCTTTTTATTATTAAGCAGGAATGAAATTTTTCACATACATTTATATCAGCTCAAAATTTATGTTTTTAATTTGCATTTTTAACACATACAATGTTTGAAATGAGTATTTGCTCATTCCTAATCAAAATATTGGAGATTAGCATAATACAGGGACATGAAGTATGCCTTGTTTACCACTAATCTTTTTCAATGATATAAAGAAATACTCACCATATTTCTGCTAGTTATATCTCCTAAGTAAACAACAGCATTCATCTGAGGAGCCCAAGTTTGAATCTCTCTTTGCCAAGATGTCAAGGTAGAAAGTGGCACGACTAGCAAGAAAGGCCCATACAGTTGGTGTTCGTGAAACAGGTAGTTCAGAAAAGAAATTGTTTGTATTGTTTTACCCAGACCCATTTCATCTGCAAGAATACAACTATTCCCTCTAAAAACAAACAAACAAACAAACAAACAAATTTATAAATGCTTTCAAGTTAAAAACAGCAAGACTAATTGAAGACTATACTTACTTGCACCATGAATGAGCAAGCCAGTTCAGTCCATTTAACTGATAATCTCTTAATTCTAAACTCTCATGTCCTCCAATATAAGACGGTTGCTTCTTTAGTGCAACAAACCTCGGCCTCTGTTTTAGAATCTGTCAAAAGCAAATTGAACATCATTCCTACTACTAAGTGAAGTTACGCAACATGTCTTATAGAAACAAAGCAGCAGTAGAAATCTGTTTGGTCACCAAGTCTAGACTTTATTAATCACAACTAGACTATATAACAATATTAACCCATTAGCAAGCTAAAATTAGCTTGGCTGCCAATCTAAATTCCACAACAGAAGTGACATGAACTCATTCACAAAGGTCAGTTTTAAAACAAACTGAGGTACTAAACAATTCTACCTGTTAATGGCAATAAAATAAGCAGGGAACAAATATCTAAAAAGACTATTAATAATGATATTTGCAACAAATATAACTATAGCTATCATTATTACTGTTCTGGACAACATCTGAAAAATATTTTATATCGTACATCTTTTTTAATACATAAAATATGTCAAACTTTTTTTTTTATTATTATTGCAACTGCATAAATCCATTGAAATTACAGACTCACCTTGCAGTCCTTAAATGGAGTAGTCTTGGATAGATTTCTGCTAAAATACTCATCAATACACGCCTGAAATTTTTTGGCAATGAGAGCACCATCTTCCCAGCTACATTCTGAGTAAGGCAGACCCTGCCATTTGCAATAGTAATCTGGATAACCAGCTTCTGATTTCTGATTTGAATGAGCTGCAGAAATGCATCAGAGATACCAGATCAATATTTTCCTTCTGTATTTTAAGAAAGCTCTCATTTTAGGTGATAAGACAACATGAACTAGTTTCACAGCAAAGACAGTATGACAACTTTTCTTTTCATCAGAGATTTTGTTTTGCCCTAAGTTGTTAGGGATATTAATAACCTAAATTTCTTAACAACATGCAAGCAATAAACTTGTAATATTCTCAACACTTTTCCATCTGGAAGTTTGTCACATACCAATTATCCTTTCCACTATTTGATATTGTTTATGTAGATCATCTGTAAGTTCCTGCTGGCAGTTATAATATTCCACATCTTCTGGAGAAGCATTTTTCAGCCTGAAATGGGAATTTATTTGTAGCACTTATTACATTGTGTATCTCTAAAACTAAGAAAATCTGGCAATTTTAAAGCTCTGAACATAAGCACCATAGGAATGCTGCTTAAAGAGCTTCTTTGAAGAAGGCACAACTCTGAAATTCCTGTATCTGGCCTAGGTACCTCATCACTGATGAGTGAGAAAGCTTATCAAAAGACACTGCTATCAGCTACACCTTGTACTAGTCATACAGTTAATTTACAATATCTATTCTCAACACTGAGTAGTGTTTTTCACATGGCATTTTCACAGAACATCACTGATGGCTCACTGTAAAAATCTATCATATAAGTAGGAATCACTAAAAAGCCCACTATTCATAGATTATATTAAACATACTAATGAAATGGAATCCTAAAACACAGCACTAAAACGTAAGGATTTATTTGACTTCTTGGTTCTGAGGCTTTAACAGAAGTTTGAGCCAAGAAAACTAAATGCTGTAATGTTTTGAGTGCTTTAAGCATTTCTGATTTCTTTTTTTAATCTCTGCAGCAATTCCTGAAGACCTCTGATCAAAATGCAATCAATCAATGGCACAATTAGTAAAAGGTAAGATTTAAAACAAAACCAGAAAACCCGCCACCCATCCTGTTAAAACTTCATTTTTAACAGACACATTAAAATCTAGGTGCAGAAGCTGCTTCCTTAAAGGCCTCATTTTACAAGATGTGTGAGCATTCTCACTTGCTCAAGTAAAGTTTCTATGATCAGAATCTTACAGCTCTTGTCTTCCTGTTGCATAGGCACTTGAAACTATGCCTTCACAAAGAGGCGATAGAACTCACAAACCCACAATAAAACATCTATATTACAAAAAATAAGGAGTGCGGAAGTAGTTATAAAAATACTCACCAGCGTTTTGTTTCCAGATCCTTTTTCTTATAGTTGTCCAGTTTCTTCATTCCTTTAACATTTTGTTGCTTTAGTGTTTCTTCAGTTTCCCAAGTATTATGGATGTGTGACCAACCTTTCCATTTAATAAGATACTGTACTTCTCCTAGCTCCTTTGACTTTTCAAACCCAGTATTTGGGTCACCATCTGCCTCAACAGCATAGATGGTGGTTGCAGCACCAGTGGCTGGTAAAGAAATCACACCATAAGGCTTGAATAAGTGTGCACTGCCATAAATTAATCAGTAAAAAACATACCACAGAAAGCAATTTGTGACAATCTTATATGAGCATGTAACTTGACAAATTATATCTACAGCTCTTATGTTATTCCTCTTATTTGAAGAATTATGATGTAGCTATATTAAAACATGCACAATGAGATTAAAAAAAAAACAACAAACCAAAACACTCTGCATCTAACCTATAGTATCTCATTTAATGATAATTTTCTTAGCGTTCCTAGTTTTTCTAGTGATTCACAGAGAATGCTCCACTAACACTGCTTGCTGTCATCTTTGCTATATGAGAATAAAACAGATATTTGACATTGTGCTTAATCAGCCTTGAGACTTGAAACACTATTCAATCATTACTATGCATTCTATAAATCCAATTCACAGAATCGAAGAATGATTGAGGTTGGACAGGACCTCTGGAGCTCATATGCTCCAACCTCCATGCTCAAACAAGTTCACCTAGAGCCAGTTGCCCAGGACCATGTCCAGATGGCTCTTGAATATCTCCAGGGAAGGAAACTCCACCACCTCTTTGGACAAACTATTCCAGTGCTTAGTCACCCTCATGGTCAAAAAAAGTCTTTCCCTATGTTCAGATGGAACCTCCTGTGTTTCAGTTTGTGCCCACTGCCTTTTGTCCTGTCACTGGACACCAATGGAAAGAGCCTGGCTCTGTCTTCTTTGAACCCTCCCTTCAGGTATTTATATACATTAATGAGCTCTTCTCCCTGAGCCTTCTCTTCTCTGTCCCACCTCTCTCAGCTTTTCCTCATAGGAGAGATGTTCCAGTCCCTTGATCATCTTTGTGGCCCTTTGTTGGACTCTCTCCAGTAGTGCCATCAGTCTCTTGTACCGGGGAGCCCAATACTGGACATAACATTCCAGATGCAGCCTCCCCAGCAGTAAGCAGAAGGGAAAGATCACCTTCCTCGACCTGTTGGCAATACTTTGCCTAATGCAGCCCAGGATACCATTAGCCTTCTTTGTATCAAGGGCACATTACTGGCTCATGTTCAATGTGGTGTCTACCAGGAACCTCACGACTTCCTTCTGCAAAGCTGCTTTCCATATGTTTGGCCCCACAGCATGTACTGCATGGGGTTGTTCTCCCCAGGTGCAGGACCTGGTATTTTCCCTTGTTGAACTTCATAAGGTTCCTTTCAGGCCATTTCCCCAACCTGTCAAGGTCCCTCTGGATGACAGCACCACCCTCTGGCATACCAGCCACTCCTCCCAATTTGGTGTCAATCTGCAAACATGCAGAAGGCACACTCTGCCCTGTCATCCAGCCCATTGATGAAGATGTTGCAAAGGACTGGACCCAGTATGTACCCCTTGGGTACACCAGTAGTTACTGGCCTCCAACTAAACTTTGCACTGCTGATCACCACCCTCTGGGTCCAGCTGTTCAGCCAGTTTTCAACCCGCCTCACTCTCTGCTTATCCAGCCCATAAATCAAGAGCTTGTCCATGACAAACTTATGGAAGAGTGTCAAAGGCCTTCCTTAAGACCAGTTTGACTATATCCACTGCTCTCCCCTCATCTACAAAACCAGTCACTTCATCGCAGAAGGTTATCAAGTTGGTCAAACATGATTTCCTCTTGGTGAAGCCATGCTGGCTACTCCTAATGACCTTCTTGTCTTTCATGTGCCTGGAAATAATTTCCAGGATTAGCTGCTCCATCAACTTCTAAGGGATTGAGGTGAGGATGGCTAGCCAGTAGATCTCTGGGTCCTCCTTCTTGCAGACAGAAATGACATGCAAACTGGTAACAACAGACGAGGAGAAGGCTGAGGTATTCAGCAACTTTTTTGCCTATGTCTTCTCTGGCAACCTCTCTTCCTACACCTCTCAAGACAGGGACTACAGAGTCCCTCCCACTGTAAGAGAAGATCAGATTCAAGATGACCTGAGGAACCTGAGCATATATAGGTCTATGCAACCTGACAAGATGCATCCCAGAGTCCTGAGGAAATGTAGTTGCCAAACCACTCTTCATGATATTTGAAAAGTCATGGCCATCAGGAGAAGTCCCTGGTGACTGGAAAAAGGGAAACACTGCATCCATTTTTAAAAAGGGTAGAAAGGAGGACCCTGTGGACTACCAACCTGTCATCTTCACCTTTGTGCCTGGGAAGATCGTGGAACAGATCCTCCTAGAAGCTATGTTAGGGCACGTGGAGGACAGGGAGGTGACTTGAGACAGCCAGCATGGCTTCACCAAAGGCAAGTCCTGCCTGACCAACCTAGTGGCCTTCTATGATGGAGTGACTACATCAGTGGACAAGGGAAGAGCTAACTGTAAGGCCTTTGACATGGTCCCCCACAACATCCTTCTCTCCAGTTGGAGAGGGAAAAATTTGATGGATGGACTGTTTGGTAGATAAGGAATTTGTTGGATGGTTGCATCCAGAGAGTAGTGGCTAACAGCTCAATGTTCTGATGGAGATCAGTGATGAGTGGCATCCCTCAGGGGTCCGTAGTGTGACCAGAACTGTTGAATATCTTCATCAGTGACATAGACAGTGGGATCAAGTGCACCCTCATCAAGTTTGCAAATGACGCCAAGCCAAGTGGTGCAGTTGATTGCTTGAAGGAAGCGATGCCATCCAGAGGAAACTTGGCAAGCTCAAGGAGTGGGTCCATGTGAACCTCATGAGGTTCACAAGGCCAAGTGCAAAGTCCTGCACCAGGGATGGGGCAATCCCCAATATCAATACAGGCTGAGGCATGAATGGGTTGAGAGCAGCCCTGCTTTTCTGAAGAAGGCTGAACACCTGGCTGCCGATGCTTGCTTGTGTGGCTTTTTCTTTACGTATTAAAATGTCTTTATCTCAACCCACGAGTGTTGTCACTTTTATTATTCTCTCCCCCATCCCACTGACAGGGACTGAGCAAGCAGCTGAGGGTGGTGAAACACTGGCACAGGGTGCACAGAGGGGTTGTAGATGCCCCATCCCTGGAAACATTCAAGGTTGGATGGGGCATTAAGCAACCTGATCTAGTTGATGACGTCCCTGTTCATTGGGGGGGGGGAGGGTTGGACTAGATGACCTTTTAAGGTCCCTTCCAACCCAAACCATGATACTATGACATTTGCTTTCCTCCAGTCTTCAGACACTTCTCCCAGTTGCCATTATCAATCAAAGATTATTGAGAGTGGTCTCACAATTACAGCTGCCAGCTCCCTCAGCACTCATGGGTGCATCCCATCTGGGCGCATGGACTTACGTATGTCCAGTTTGTTTAAGTATTCCCTGGCCCGATCCTCTTCCACCAAAGGTGCATCCTCCTTGCTCCAGACTTTCCCATTTGGGCATTTTTGCCCATCAATAGCAGCTCATTGGGATGAGCTGCTATTGAACTATTTCTTCCTAAGCTCATTTTACTACTTCCCTACTTCCCCCCCCCCCCCTCCTTATTTGAACTCTTATTTGAGGCAATTTTTAATAAAATACAGTCAGTATTACAGCTGAGGCAGACTAGCAGCAGGAAACAGGCTCATTTCTGTGAGGAGAGCCAAATAAGGAAGTAGACCCAACCAGATGCAGGGGACAGATATAGCAACAGAGCATGGCAATAGCAAAGGACTGCACAAGCAGTAACAACATCTGGGCATGCATAATATAAGAAATCTATTCCAGAAGACTTTTAACACAATGGTGACACTGCATTGGAGTAAGGGGCTAGAGTAAGAATACACTGGAATTTAAGACAGTATGGGAAAAGAAAGTTGAGAGGAAAGAGAGTGCAAGCTCTGAGATAGGTCAGAAACTCTAGAGATCAGGTATAATTAATGGAGAAAAGCAGTTCTGAAGTATGAGTAATCCCAAGTTTTCTATAATCAGAACCCTAATTTGCAGGCTAATAAAACAAACCCACATAAGCAGGAAACTGCAACCCACCAGATGCTGGAAACATAGAATCATAGAATTTTCTGTGCTGGAAGGGACCTTCAAAGGTCATCTAGTCCAACCCCCCTGCAATGAGCAAGGACATCTTCAACTAGATCAGGCTGCCCAGAACCATATCCAGCCTGACCTTGAATGTCTCCAGGGATGGGGCATCCACCAGCCTGTTCCAATATTTTACCACCCTCATTATGAAGACTTTTTTCCTCACATCCAGCCTGAATCTCCCCTCTTTTAGTTTAAAACCATCACCCCTCATCCTACTGCACTAGGCCCTGCTGAAAAGTTTCTCCCCATCTTTCTTACAGGCCCCTTTTAAGTACTGAAAGGCCACAATAAGGTTTCCCTGGAGCCCTCTCCAGGCTAAATAAACCCAGCTCTCTCAGTCTGTCTCCATAGGAGAGGTGTTCCATCCCTCTGATCTCCAACAGGTCCATGTCTTTCCTGTACTGAGGACTTCACACAGTACTCCAGGTGGGGTCTCACTAGAGCAGAGCAGATGGGCAGAATCACCTCCCCTGACCTCCAAATTCCACCCTCCAAAACCCCCTACGTAACAACCCCACTCTCATTTATAAAATTACTTTTAGAAGTGCACATGCAAACACACCACTGAAATTTTAGATTCCACCATCCACTGCACTGTATTGTAACTATTTGTACAGGAGTAACTGAAATCACGATCTCAATGGTTCAGACTTCCCAACTTCAGCATTCAGGCTACTGGCTAGCTGTCCTATCCAGTCCACTTTTTCTCCACCCCTCTGCATGCAGTTTATACCTATCAGGTATCAATAAACAGTACAAATAGTGATTTAACAGTATGGCATGCATTTATGCAATATGGAGCTATATTCTAATTAATTTTTACTTTTTCACAGTATCACAGTATCACAGTATGTTAGAGATTGGAAGGGACCTCGAAAGATCATCTAGTCCAATCCCCCTGCCAGAGCAGGAACACCTAGATAATGTTACACAGGAATGCATCCAGGCGGGTTTTGAATGTCTCCAGGGAAGGAGACTCCACAACCTCCCTGGGCAGCCTGTTCCAGTGTTCTGTCACCCTCACTGAGAAGAAGTTTCTTCTCAAGTTTAAGTGGAACCTCTTGTGTTCCACTTTGTACCCATTACCCCTTGTCCTATCATTGTTTGCCACTGAGTAGAGCCTGGCTCCGTCCTCGTGACACTCCCCCTTTATATATTTATAGACACTGATAAGGTCACCCCTCAGTCTCCTCTTCTCCAAACTATAGAGACCCAGCTCCCTCAGTCATTCCTCATAAGGGAGATGCTCCACTCCCTTAATCATCTTTGTTGCCCTGCGCTGGACTCTCTCCAGCAGCTCCCTGTCCTTCTTGAACTGAGGGGCCCAGAACTGGACACAATACTCCAGATGCGGTCTCACCAGGGCAGAGTAGAGGGGAAGGAGGACCTCTCTCGACCTACTAACCACCGCCCTTCTAATACACCCCAGGATGCCATTGGCCTTCTTAGCCACAAGGGCACAGTGTTGGCTCATGGTCATCCTGTTGTCCACTAGGACCCCCAGGTCCCTCTCCCCTACACTGCTTTCTAACAGGTCGTTCCCCAACCTATACTGGAACCTGGGGTTGTTCCTGCCCAGATGCAGGACTCTACACTTTCCCTTGTTATATTTCATCAAGTTACTCCCTGCCCAACTCTCCAGCCTATCCAGGTCTCGCTGGATGGCAGCACAGCCTTCTGGCGTATCAGCCACTCCTCCCAGCTTAGTGTCATCAGCAAACTTGCTGATAGTACACTCAATTCCCTCATCTAAATCATTGATGAATATATTAAATAATACCGGTCCCAGTACTGACCCTTGAGGCACTCCACTAGTCACAGGCCTCCAACTAGACTCAGCCCCATAGACTACAACTCTCTGGCTTCTCTCCTTCAGCCAGTTCGCAGTCCACCTCACTACCTGATCATCCAGTCCACACTTCCTCATTTTAGCCGTGAGGATGCTGTGGGAGACTGTGTCAAATGCTTTGCTGAGGTCAAGGTAGACCACATCCACCGCTCTGCCATCATCCATCCACTGTGTTATTTCCTCATAAAAGGCTAAGAGATTGGTCAAACATGATTTCCCCCTGGTGAAGCCATGTTGACTGCCCCTCATAACCTTCTTATCCTTGATATGCCTTAAGATGGTACCAAGGATAAGGTGTTCCATCACTTTCCCAGGGATGGAGGTGAGGCTGACCGGTCTGTAGTTACCCGGGTCCTCCTTCTTGCCCTTTTTGAAGACTGGAGTGACATTTGCTTTCCTCCAGTCCTCAGGCACCTCTCCCGTTTCCCAAGACTTGGTAAAGATGATGGAGAGTGGTCTAGCAATGACTTCCGCCAGTTCCCTCAGCACCCGCGGGTGCATCCCATCTGGACCCATGGATTTATGGATGTCCAGATTGCTCAACTGGTCTCTAACCCATTCCTCATCGACTAAGGCAAACCACTCCATCGACCTGACTTCATCTAAGGTCTCAGGGGTACAGGGCTCTTCAGGACTGCCCGCAGCAGAGTAGACAGAGACAAAGAAGGCATTCAGTAACTCTGCCATCTCTTTATCTTCTGTCACCAGGGCACCCATCCCGTTCATCAGTGGGCCTACATTGCCTCTGGTGTTAGTTTTGTCTGCCATGTATTTAAAAAAGCTCTTTTTGCTGTCCTTGACCCTTCTTGCCAGGTTTAATTCTAAGGATGCCTTAGTCCTCCTAGCTGCCTTCCTACATCTTCTAGCAGCAGCCTTATATTCCTCCCAAGTGGCCAGCCCCTCCTTCCATGACCTGTAAACTCTCCTCTTCCACTTGAGCATATCCAGCAATTCCCTATTTAGCCACGCAGGTCTCTTGGCCCTCTTCCTTGACTTCCTACGTGTCGGGATGCTCCAATCTTGAGCACGGAAAAAGCAGTCCTTGAATATCAACCAACTATCTTGGGCCCCTTTACCTTCAAGCAGCCCTGCCCATGGGATTTCCCCTAGCAATTGCTTGAAAAGGCCAAAGTTTGCCCTGCTAAAGTCCAGGGTTGCAATTCTACTTGCTATTCTACTAGTCCTGCCACACAAGATCCTGAACTCCACCATCTCGTGGTCGCTGCAACCAAGGCAGCCCTCAACCCTTACTGCTTCGACCAGATCCTCCTTGTTAGTGAGGATGAGATCCAGCAGCGCTCCTCTCCTGGTCGGCTCATCCACCATTTGCAGGAGGAAGTTATCATCCATACACTGGAGGAACCTCCTGGACTGTGGCTGGGTTGCCGAGTGGTCCTTCCAGCAAACATCAGGGAAGTTAAAATCCCCCACGACGACCACGGCCTGTGACTGTGAGGCCGCTCTCAGCTGCCTGTAGAAGGTCTCGTCAACTTCCTCACCCTGATCTGGTGGTCTGTAACAGACACCCACAACAGTATCCCCCCTGCCAGCCTGCCCCTTAATTCTCACCCACAGACTCTCAACTCGCTCATCATCTGTCCCTGGACAGAACTCTGTGCACTGTAGTTCCTCCCGCACATAAAGAGCAACCCCACCACCCCGCCTGGCTGGCCTGTCTTTCCTGAAAAGGGCATAGCCTTCCATGACTATATTCCAGTCATGTGAGCTGTCCCACCACGTCTCTGTAATTGCCACCAGATCATAATCTCCTGACTTAACACAGGTTTCCAACTCCTCCTGCTTATTTCCCATGCTGCGCGCATTGGTGTACAGGCATTTCAGGGAGCGAGCTGAGCACACCGATTTCACCTTTTTCCATTAGTTACTTAAGTTCTATGTTTTACTTTATAGGGCTTACAAAAGAAACATGCTTATGAGTATGAAAACCAAAATAAGATTATTTTATAGTATTTTTAAACTTATTCTTTACAAACATCACAGGTTACATACAGCTGAGAACAACTGCTGTTTACATTGTACCACAATGAACTACAGCATCTTAAGAACACTGATAAAAAAATACCTCCTTTTCGGCCAATTCGACTATCCATAAACTTCTCTATAGTTTCAAATTCATCTTCTTCAGGCTGTAGGACATCTTCTCCACAAACTTCCAACAAGTCATCAGAATCTGTCTTGGTTTCTTCAGCTTCTTTGTAACTAACATTGACTGTTGCCTGGCGACGAGACACTCTCTTGTCATAGTCATCATCATCTGATGAATCAAGATACCTCTTTTTCTGTCCTGCAATCTTTTTGCAGCTTTTTGGCTCAATTCTTGAAGACAATAAGATACAACACAACAGTAGAGTTGCTGCCTGTATTTGTTACTAAATATAAATATTTCATGACTGCTCAGTGCCTTGGTTTTCATTTCATTCATTAATCTTTCATTTGCCTGTACAGTACTTGATTATGAATTAGAAATAGTATCAGATTATCTAACATGCAAGACTTCTTACCTGCTTGGAGGTTTCTGGCTTTTGACCTTGTTTTTTGGCTCATAGACAGATTCTCTGTCTTCACAACTGCTTTTCTCTCTATCTTCCTCTGATTCAGAATCAGAACCAGTTCCTGATACTGACCCTGAGCCAGACATTTGCCAGTCTTCACTGTACATATTGAGAGACAAAATAGTAACTCACATTAGGGTTTGGGGTTTTCCTTGTTTGTTTTGGTTTTAAATCAAGTATTCACCACAAGTTTGCTGTGTTAATTTCAACATTCTTCATGGAAATAAAAATGTTAAAATAGCAATTTCAGCTGGAAGGACAGAAACTTATCATGAATGGATAACAGGTAAAAATACCCAATGGATTCAAAGAGAGTTGAATTAAGCTTTCTGTTATCCAGAGGTAGATGTAAAAAAAAACAAAACCAAACACAAAAAAAATTGGATTTATGTATAAATTACAGCTTTAATAATGGAGTTAACCTGACATCAATAAAACCTGAAGTCCTTAACAAGACTTTAGCTGGAAAGATACATATTTACAGTAACTCACCAATGCTCAAGTCAAAAAAAACCCATAACATCATATTTTGCCAAATTCAAAATTCTCTAATAGTTATGGTTACAAGCTCAGGAGTGTTGTGTCCCGACTAGAAGGAAGTATGGCTGGAGGGCCAGGAGACCTCCATGGATGGATAACGAGATGCTGAGGAAAATTTGAGAGGAAAAAAGAGGCTTATAAAAGGTGGAAGCAAGGACAGGCGGCCTGGGAAGAATACAGGGATGTTGTCTGGGAAGCCAGGGACCAGGTTAGGAAACCTAAGGTCCAGTTAGAATTAAACTTGGCTAGGGATGTGAAAGATAACAGGAAGGGATTCTATAGGTACGTAGTGAATAAAACACATACTAGGGACAACATGGGCCCTCTCCAGAAGCTATCAGGAGAACTGGCTACAATGGATTTGGAGAAGGTTGAAGTTTTAATGACTTCTGTGCCTCAGTCTTCACTGGCGAAGGCTCTGACCACACCACCCAAGTCTTGGAAGGCAGACGCAGGGACTGTGAGAATGAAGAACTTAGGCCCACTGTAGGAGAGGATCTGGTTCAAGACCGTCTTAAGAACCTGAATATGCACAAGTCCATGGGACCTGATGAAATCCATCTGCAGGTCCTGAAGGAGCTGGCGAACAATGTTGCTAAGCCACTGGCCATCATATTTGAAAAATCATGGCAGTCAGGCGAAGGTCCTGACGACTGGAAAAAGGGAAATATAACCCCCATTTTCAAGAAGGGGAAAATGGATGACCCAGGGAACTACAGACCAGTCAGTCTCACCTCTGTGCCTGGCAAAATCTTGGAGCAGATTCTCCTGGAAGGCATGCCAAGGCACATGAAAATCAACAAGGTGCTTGGTGACAGCCAGCATGGCTTCACTAAGGGGAAATCCTGACTGACAGGGAGGCCTTCTGTGATGGGGCTACAGAACTGATGGACAAGGGCAAAGCAGTTGATGTCATCTACCTGGACTTGTGCAAAGCATTTTGATACTTTCCCACATGACAACCTTGTCTCTAAATTGGAGAGACATCAATTTGATAGATGGACAACTTGGTGGATAAAGAACTGGCTGGATGGCCGCACTCAAAGAGTTCTGGTCAATAGCTCGACATCCAGCTGGAGACCAGTAACGAGTGGTGTCCTTCAGGGATGAGTGTTGGACCGGACTTGTTCAACGTCTTTGTTGGCTACAAGGACAGTGGGATTGAGTGTGCCCTCAGTAAGTTTGACGATGACAACAAGCTGTGTGGTTTGAGTGATCCGCTGGAGGGAAGAAATGCCATCCAGAGGGAACCTGACACGCTTGTGAGGTGGGCCAGTGACAGCCTTATGAAGTTTAACCGTGCCAAGTGCAAGGTCCTACACCTGGGTCGCAGCAATCCCAGGCACAGCTACAGGTTGGGCGGAGAAGAGATTCAGAGCAGCCCTGCGGAGAAGGACTTGGGGGGGTTGGTCGATGAGAAACTTAACATGAGCTGGCAGTGTGCGCTCGCAGCCCAGAAAGCCAGCCGTATACTGGGCCGCATCAAAAGGAGCGTGACCAGCAGGTCGAAGGAGGTGATCCTGCCCCTCTACTCTGCTCTCGTGAGACCTCACTTGGAGTATTGTGTGCAGTTCTGGTGTCCTCAACAGAAGAAGGACATGGAACTGTTGGAGCAAGTCCAGGGGAGGCCACGAGGATGATCAGGGACTGGAGCACCTCCCGTATGAAGACAGGCTGAGAAAATTGGGGCTGTGCAGCCTGGAGAAGAGAAGGCTGCGTGGAGACCTCACAGCAGCCTTCCAGTATCTGAAGGGGGCCTATAAGACTGCTGGGGAGGGACTCTTCATTAGGGACTGTAGTGATAGGACAAGGGGTAACGGGTTCAAACTTAAACAGGGGAAGTTTTGATTAGATATAAGGAAGAAGGTCTTTACTGTGAGGCTGGTGAAGGACTGGAATGGTTTGCCCAAGGAAGTTGTGAATGCTCCATCCCTGACAGTGTTCAAGGCCGGGTTGGGCAAAGCCTTGGGCGACATGGTTTAGTGTGAGATGCCCCTGCCCATGGCAGGGGGGGTGGAACTAGATGATCTTAAGGTACTTTCCAACCTTAACTATTCTATGATTCTATGTTCCCTGTGCCTCATTTGAATAATTAGGAACTTCAGCATAGGAACCAAAAATAATACAGAATCAGATTTGAGAATGACTTGGACCGTAGCAGTTTGAGAGGCACTGACTCCCCAACGCCCCCACTGAGCTTCCAAATCAGTTCTTCACACCCATGAAAGATACTATGAGTAAACCACTCGTGACTCCTGCTTAGTTGAGATCTACTTTACAGCAGGAAAGATGGACTCACTGATCAACAGTCACTTAGCTCAGATTTTACAGAGATATTTAATCTTAATAGCTTGGGGGGGGAAGGGGGAGAAAGGTCTGGCATGCATTCTTGAAAGGTCACTAAATCTATTACCATCTATTATCTACTACCATCTATCATCAGGTTTAGGGGTCTTTGACCAAGATGCTCAAACAGTGGCCTTCAAAGGTGGAATATTACTCAAAGACATTTTCATTAAATTTCAGATCAGGAAGCCTAAGAATCACTGCCATGATACTTCTTTCACTTAAATATGCATTGGTCCTAGAAGTTACGTTTTCATTAGGGTCAATACATCTGTGTGTCTTGGAAATACTATAGAATCTTCATTCTCCTTAAAAGATTATTTTTCTGCAAGCAGTAAATTAAAAACCACCCAAACAACAACACCCCCCACCCCCAAATAAAAACAAAAAATCTCCACCCCAAAACAACTAACTCCCCCACCCTGCAAATCCACAGCCTGCATTTATTTGGAGATATAGACAACATATAAAACACCATACTCTAGGGCTTGGATCCTGTACTAAGTTATATAGAGATAAATCTGATCTGTATGTCAGATAACAACTGCAAACATATTTGTTCAAAATAGGTATAAATCAAAATTGAATCACTGGATATATGAGGTTATTTGGTTACTAGATTCTAAACTTGAATATCTTTCCTGTAACAGAGTATGTTATTAGGTGTAATCACATTCTTAAGTAACAGAAAACTCTGAATAACAATTCATCACTAGAGAAGTACTATTTTGCATAGCAAAGCCCGCCTCCCCCCACCCCACCCCCATTTCTTGAAGATATTATAGCGGCGACCCTGAATATTGAGATGATTCAATTAACTGAAGAAGAAAAAAGAGAGAATGATTGAATTCCTATACACCGTTCATAAAAAAAAACAAACAAACCCAAACCCCAAACCAAACACAAACAACCCACACACACAGAGGTGACTGCAAATGAGAAGCTATGACCTTTTTCACAAACTTTTTAATCTACAGCTTAAAACCATCTCAAGTTCAACTTTATTACAATTTACTTAATTTTTTGATTTATTGAATAGCCAAAACAGTTTATTACTGTCAAACCTGTAATAATTTGATGGCGGGGTGGGGTGGGGGGGTGGTGCCTCTAAAGTGTTTAAAAATTTGCCATGAACTATGGGATTCCGACTTATGTTGCCATAACAAAAAATTATATTATTCATGAAAAACATCTTACTCTCTATGGTTTTTCTTCTTGGTTTCACTGGAAGAGTCATCTGCAGAATCTTCACTGCTCGATGAAACCTGCGGAATGAAGAAGAACAATGAAGTATTTTTACTATTAAAAAGATAATTCAGCTCCCACTTTCAAACTGAAATCTTATTCTTCGTGTCTTATCCTCTTCATCCCCCTCAGTGTACCCATTGACATTGAATAAGATCAGGATTGCTGTTGAGTTTGTATTTCTCCATCTAAGAATATACCGTATAAGAACTCTAGAAAACACTACAAAAAAAAAACCTGTCTTAAAATATAATAATTGTGCCTACATATAGTCATAGTTTATACTGCTGCAAGTCAATAAATCAAGATGAAGTTCCTATCAAAAGCCTAATAAAATCTCCTGCTCTCTCACTTTTCATATCCTCTCATAAACATCACTAAGAAAATTCTGAGAATAGCATGTATGTTTCTTCTCTCACCCCTCCCCCCCCCCAAAAAAAAAGCACCATAAATTGACGAACCCTCTTAAAATTATTTTCCTAAAACCAATCTCATAGAGATTAATGTTGGATCATTTTTATGCTGAAAAATAGTCTTCAGGAAAAGAGTACTTAGCAACAGCTATTAATATTTTAACTATATATGATTAAGTTCTTTGTCCTTTAAAGATATTTCTACTGCACAAAGACAACTTTTGCTTAGCCCATGATTTAGGTTTTAAAAATCTCTAAAATGGAAGTATGGTTCTTAAAATGCAAGCATTCATTTATAACTGTTATAAAAATCTATCTTTCAACTCCATATAGTGCTTTTGAAAACTGCAGCAGCTACCTTTATATAGTGACAATAGTGGAAAAGTCTTTTAGCATTTTTAACTGTCTTTATGCATCTCAGAAGGCAGAAATGCAATGAAAGTCAATACTACATGACTTGAAAACTTTGTCCATACATCACAGAACACCTAGCTAAGAATATTAATCTATACTGCTATCATTTTGGCACAAATCACCTGAAAACATGCAACTAAATTCCCCCCCCCCGGTTCCTCATAAACTTGTCAGTTACATAAATATTACTTTTATAGACTAAACCTAGACTTTTTAAACATGCATACACCTAAGAGAACAGAACTTAGCTCTACATAATTTTATTCTAACACATGGGGTACTGAGACATGCATGTTTACTTTTTATTTACTAACTTAGATGTTATTCACCTCTTCTGAACCACTGCCTGATGAGGCTGCCTTCTGATGTTGCTTCTTGAGCCCTGCTGATCTCTGCACAGCAAGTATACTTGGACTGGACTTCCAAACCTGAATCGGAATTCAGACACAAGAGTCATTTAAACATACTGAAACTTTAAAGTTTACCACATTCTTACTTTGCTTAAGATGAGCAGCATCCCTATTAAGATGAATCTCATTTTTATTAATATTAAAAAACTCACTATAAAATACTGCATGATGATAGTATTTTAAATTAGTGATGCTTCTGCAGAAAGGACTGTTATATAAGAATCGCTGGCACAATTTTTACAGTAAGTATAATAATCATTGTGCAGGCTTCTATATTATTAACATAACTTTTTAAAGGAAATTTTTTAAAATAATCTAGATAATTTCTTTCAGGCCACTTATCTGATATATTTTTGCTTCATATGGGAATACTGAATTACATAGAATCATAGAATCAAGTTGGAAGGGACCGAAAAGGATCGAGTTTATTTCCCTGCTCCTTGCAGGACTACCTAAGCCATTATGACTAAGAGTGTTATCCAGGCACTTATTGAACTCTGACAGGCTTGGTGCCATGACCACTTCCCTGAGGAGCCTGTTCTAGTGACTGAGCACTCTCTCAGTGAAGAACCTTGTCCTAATGCCCAATCTGAACTTCTCCTGACACGATTTCAGTCAATTTTCTCATGCCCTATCACTGGTCACCAGAAAGAAGAGATCAGCACTTCCCCTTCCACTGCCCCTCTTGAGGAAGTTGTAGACTGTGATGAGGTCACCCTTCAGCTGCCTCTTCTCCAAGCTGAACAAACCAAGTGACCTCAGCCACTCCTTGCAAATCTTGCCCTCAAGACCTTTCACCATCTTGGTTGCCCTCCTCTGGACACATTCTAATAGTTTGATGTCCTTCTTATACTGAGATGCCCAAAACTTCACACAGTACTTGAGGTGGGACCACACCAGTGCGATGTAGAGTGGAGCACTCACCTCCCTCAGCTGTGTTTGATGCACCCCAGGACATGGCTGGCCCGTTTGGCTGCCAGAGCACACTGTTGACTCATGTTCAACTTGCCATCAACCCAAAGCCCTAGATCTCTTTCCAGGAGGCTTCTCTCCAGCCTCTAGTCCCCCAACTTGTACATATAGCCAGTATTACCTCATCCTAGGTACAGAATCTGGCACTTATTCTTGCTAAATTTCATACAGCTGGTGATTGCCCAGCTCTCTAATCTATCCAAATCTCTCTGTAAGGCCTCTCTGCCCTTGAGGGATTCCACAGCTCTTCCTAGTTTAGTGTCATCAGCAACCTTAATGTACATATGATTCCTGTGTCCAGAACATTTATAAAAGCATTGAAGAGCACTGGCCCTAAAACTGAGCCCTGGGGAACCCTACTGGTAACTGGCTGCCACAGTATCCCTCATTAGGTTTCTCTCCTCCCTCCTCAGGCCTATCAAGGTCCTGCTGAATGGCAGCACAGGTTTCAGGTGTATCAGCCACACCCCCCAGCTTTGTATCATCAGCAAACTTGCTCAGGGTAGACTCCAGCCCTTCATCTTTGTTGTCATTGATATGCAAGTTGAATAAGACTGAACCCAGTACTGATCCCTGGGGAAGACCACTGACTACAGGCCTCCAACTGGATGCTACTCCGCTGATCATGTCTCTCTGAACTCTGCCATTCAGTCAGTTTTTGATCCACCTCTCTATCCATTCATCTAACCCACATTTCCTAAGCTTACCTATGAGGAGGTTATGGAAGACAGTGCCAAAAGCCTTGCTGAAGTCAAGGAAGATAACAACCACTGCTCTCACCTCATTTACCCATCTTGACATGTCATCATAGAAGGCTATTAGATTGGTCAAGCATGATTTCCCTTGGTGAATACATGCTGACTACTCCTGATGACCTGCTTTTCTTCTACATGTGTGGTAATGACCTCCGGAATGACCTGTCCCATCACCTTTCCAGGGATGGAGGTGAGGCTGAGTAGCAGTAGTTTCCCAGGTTCTCCTTCTTGCCGTTTTTGAAAATGGGAGTAACATTTGCCTTCCTGCAGTCATCGGGCACCTCTCTCATTCTCCATGCTTTTTCAAAGATGATGGAGAGTGTCAGAGCAACATCTCCCAGCTCCCTCAGTACCCATGGGTGCAACCCATCAGGGCCCATGGATCTATTAAGTCTGGTGTTAAGTCTGTCTAGGCTATCCCTAACCCAAACCTTTATGACCAGGCTGAAGACTTCCTTTCTCCAGCCTTCATCTCTAACCTCCCAGGTCTGGGACTCCTGAGAGCCATTCTTAGTGGTAAAGACTGAGGCAAAGAAGGCATTCAATAATTCCACCTTCTCTGTGTCTTCTGTTACCAGGACACCCATCTGATTCAGCAGCAGCCCCATATTTTCCCTTATCTTCCTTTTGCTGCTGATAGAAGCATAGAATCATAGAATAGCTAGGGTTGGAAAGTACCTTAAGATCACCTAGTTCCACCCCCCCTGCCATGGGCAGGGACACCTCGCACTAAACCAATATGGTTTATGGTGGCTCCGTCCAACCCGGACTTGAACACTGTCAGGGATGGAGCATTCACAACTTCCTTGGGCAAACCATTCCACTCCTTCACCAGCCTCACAGTAAAGACCTTCTTCCTTACATTTGACCTGAACTTCCCCTGTTTAAGTTTGAACCCGTTACCCTGTGTCCTATCACTACAGTCCCTAATGAAGAGTCCCTCCCCAGCAGTGTTACAGGCCCCCTTCAGATACTGGAAGGCTGCCATGAGGTCTTCATGCAGCCTTCTCCAGGCTGAACAGCCTCAACTTTCTCAGTCTGTCCTCATACAGGAGGTGCTCCAGTCCCCTGATCATCCTCGTGGCCCTCCTCTGGACTTGTTCCAACAGTTCCATGTCCTTCTTATGTTGAGGACACCAGAACTGTACACAGAACTCTAAGCTAGGTCTCACAAGAGCAGAGTAGAGGGGCAGGATCACCTCCTTCGACCTGCTGGTCACGCTCCTTTTGATGCAGCCCAGAATACGGCTGGCTTTCTGGGCTGCGAGCGCACACTGCCAGCTCGTGCTAAGCTTCTCATTGACCAACCCCCCCAAATCTTTCTCCGCAGGGCTGCTCTGAATCTCTTCTCCGCCCAACCTGTAGCTGTGTCTCCTCTCCTCTCCTCTCCTCTCCTTGTAGAAGCTCTTCTGCTCTTCCTGTTGTCCTTGATGTCCTTTGCCAGGCTCAAATCTAAGTGGGCTTTGGCCTTCCTTGTCTCATCCCTGCATACCCTGACCGCTGTTCCTATAGTCCTACTTGGCCTGTCACAACATTATGTGTGACTTTGTCTTCAAAAATATGCAATAAGTTAACAGGTGCTTCTGTGTGATACAATTTAGGCAATTATCTAACTGTAGGTGTTTAAAGAGATGAGAATTTAAGAGCCCATTGTTTGTTATGAAAGCTAAGCATGTGCATTCACTAACCTGATCAAGTTAAAATTCTAAGGAAATATTGTAGCGGTTTTGTTTGTTTAAATTAAAAATGCTCTTGTAATTACTCTGCACAGAATGTGGTTTTCCCTACAAAGAGTTAATTTATATGCTTTGTTTTACCTCAGATCCATCAGCTTTTGGTAGTGGTTTAGCTTGAACTTGTTTCTTCTCTCTAGATGTGTCAGACTTTGATTCTGATTGACTGCCTGACTCTGAACCAGATTCAGAGTCACTGCTACCTGACTGACTGCTACTTCCATCACTACTGCTTCCAGAGCTTGAACCAGATCCCGAAGCTGATGCTGACCCAGAATCATCATCTGTTTGGCTGCAATTAGAAGTTAACATGAGTATCACAATATCTAATTAAATAGGATTTTTTTTAAAACACATTAAAAATACTTTAGCTTCACCTATAAATCAACTGTTAGGTTAGCCCAGACACATGGATAGCATACAAGTGAATGCACTGGATTAAACAAATCAGGAATGAAAATTCAGTGCTTAATCAGATACTTTTCATTAAACCTTAAAAGGAGAGAGGGGAGAAAGAAGGGAAAACATTAATCATTAATGCAGATAAGTTAAACAAGGGTATTTCTCACCCACCCAAACTGTTACTTAGCTCCATCAAACCCCACGTATTTTTGTGCATACACACAGAATTGTTTTAAGTACTTTTAGATTACCCCCTCTCCCAGTTGTTTTTGGATAATTTTTTTCTTGAGCATGCATTTTTTCAAAGCAAATATAAACTCTGTTTTGTTTCCCTAGGCTTACTTCTTTCATACTGTCGTGGTTTAAACCCAGTCAGGTAATTCGTTCGCTCACTTCCCCCCCTTTCTTGCCCTCCCCCTGCTCTCGGAGGGACGGAGAGGAGAATCAAAAGAATGCAACTCCCACGGGTTGAGATAAGAACAGTTTAGTAACTAAGGTATAACACAAATCACTACTGCTACCACCAATGATAATAATGATAAAGGAAATAACAAGGGAACAGAATACAACACCTCACCACCCGCTGAGGGGGAAAAAGTATCTTTATGAAAGTACTTGCAAACTACGTTTCATGTGGTGATTTGGACCAACTATATACAAAATACCACCAAATACTTGATTAAATAAAGTGTTTACAAAAGTAACTGGAAAACCAGAAGTATGATGTCACACATAATATAAATTCATACAATTTTATACTGTTAAAATAAAGCAATAAATTCCCCACACAGACAAACCATGAATTTGTCACAGATTATATGACATGCGCCAAATCATGACCAGTGACCTTAGCATATTCTTGAGCCAGTGGATTATTCCACCTATATATTCATTTCACACTAGATTTAACATATCTAAGTAGAATAATATACAAAGTTAAACATGTATTTCATGACTATTCAAAAACATCAAAACATTTGGTTTTCTAAAACATTTTTACAAAGGAACTGAGTGAAAACTTGTCGTGGTTTAAGCCCAGCCGGCAACCCAGGTCCACGCAGCCACTCGCTCACTCCCCCAACTTCCTTGTCCCCCTGCTCCTGGAGGGATGGGGGGGGAGAATCGAAAGAATGTAACTCCCACGGGTTGAGATAAGAACAGTCCAGTAACTAAGGTATAACACAAAACCACTACTGCTGCCACCAATAATAACAACGATAAGGGAAATAACAAGGGGAGAGAATACAACCACTCACTGCCTGCCGACAGATCCCCAGCCCGACCCAAGCAGTGGTCTACCCCTTCCAGGTAACTGCCCCCACTTCTACATCCTGGGCATGACGTGCTGTGGTATGGAATACCTCTTTGGCTAGCTTGGGTCAGGTGTCCTGTCTCTGCTTCCTTCCGGCTTCCCCTCCTCCCTGGCAGAGCATGAGACTCAGAAAGTCCTTGGTCAAAGTAAACATTACTGAGCAACAACTAAAAACATTGGTGTTATCAGCGCTGTTCCCAGGCTGAAAGTCAAAGACACAGCACTGCACCAGCTACTAAGAAGGAGAAAAATGACTGCTACTGCTGAACCCAGGACAAAACTTCAATCAAATTCCTCATTAGGTTAAAAACTACCAGATATTGTGATGGAAAACATTGGAGTTATCACACAAGCAAAATAATTTTAAATTATGTACACTTGGGATGTAAGCATTTAAAAAAGAAACAAACCCCCAGTAAAGATAATACCAAAATCCCAAACAATAAAACCCCAAACTCTAATATCGAAGTCTAAGCCTATCACTGCCAGCACAATTCATCTGACTGTCAACCAGCAAGGGGTGGGGGGAAGGGTGGTGGTAGTATGGTGATCATCTCCTGCACTAGAACACACTTAACTGACAAATTTAAAGCCAAAACCCAAACCCAATACTTTCCCTCTTGCTAACACCAGTTAAATTGTATTAGTGAGGGGAAAAAAGATGAATGAAGCAATTCACAAACTAATTCCTCAATCAACCATCTGCATCTGTTAACTTTGAATAAAAGAAACAAACCATGAAAAAGCTTCATTATTTTGTAGTGGGGGATATGAAGAAATACAACTAACTGCTGGTTTTAATTACACTTGCTGAGGATAAAACTGGGAGGCAACAAGGCTACTTCCAAACTTCCCGTTCTTGTCATCAAGGGCCTACTTCAGGTGTATGAAGTTGCTAAGCCACTGTCCATCATTTCTGAAAAGTTATGGCAGTCAGGTGAAATTCCCAACAACTAGAAAAAGGGAAATATATCTCCCTTTTTTAAAAAGGGGAAAGTGGAAGACCCAGGGAGCTACAGACCGGTCAGCCTCACCTCTGTGCCTGGCAAGATCATGCAGCAGATTGTCCTGGAAGCCATGCTAAGGCACATGGAAAACAACGAGGTGCTTGGTGACAGCCAACATGGTTTCACTAAGGGAAAATCATGCCTGACCAATCTGTTTGCCTCCTACGACGGGCCTACAGAACTGATGGATAGAGGCAGAGCAGCTGATGTCATCTACCTGGACTTGCACAAAGCGCTTGATGCTGTACCGCATGACATCCTTGACTGTAAAATGGATTTGATGGATGGACCGCCCAGTAGATAGAGAATTAGAATCATAGAATAGTTAGGGTTGGAAAGGACCTTAAGATCATCAAGTTCCAACCCCCCTGACATGGGCAGGGACACCTCACACTAAACCATATCACCCAAGGCCTTGTCCAACCAGGCCTTGAACACTGCCAGGGATGGAGCATTCACAACCTCCCTGGGCAACCCATTCCAGTGCCTCACCACCCTAACAGGAAAGAATTTCCTCCTTATATCCAATCTAAACTTCCCCTGTTTAAGTTTTAACCCATTACCCCTTGTCCTATCACTACAGTCCCTAATGAACAGTCCCTCCTCAGGATCCCTATAGGCCCCCTTCAGATGATGGAAGGCTGCTATGAGGTATCCACACAGCCTTCTCTTCTCCAGGCTGAACAGCCCCAGATTTCTCAGCCTATCTTCATACGGGAGGTGCTCCAGTCCCCTGATCATCCTCGTGGGCCTTCTCTGGACTTGTTCCAACAGTTCCATGTCCTTTTTATATTGAGGACACCAGAACTGCATACAATGCTCCAGGTGAGGTCTCACAAGAACAGAGGCTGGATGGCCATACACAAAGAATTGTGGTCAATGGCGCAATGTCCAAGTGGAGACCAGTGATGAGTGGGGGCACTCAGGGGTCAGTGTTGGGACTGATCCTGTTCCTGTTCTTTGTTGGAGACATGGACAGTGGGATTGAGTGCACCCTAAGCAAATTGTTCAGTTACATCAAGCTATGCATTGTGGTCAACACGGTGAAGGGAAGGGATGACATCTAGAGGAACCCTGACAGGCTTGAGAGATGGGCCAATGCAAACCTCATGAAGTTCAACAAAGCCAAGTACAAGGTCCTACACCTGGGTCGGAGCAATCCCAGCAACAGCTGCGGGTTGGGCATAGACCTGATTCAGAGCAGTCCTGTGGAAGACTTGGGGATGTTGGTCAATGAGAAAATGAACGTGAGCCAGCAGTGTGCGCTCGCAGCCCAGAAAGCCAACTGTATCCTGGGCTGCATCAAAAAAAGCATGAACAGCAAGTTGAACGAGGTGATCCTGCCCCTCTACTCTGCTCTCGTGAGACCTCACTTGGAGTACTGTGTACGGTTCTGGTGTCCCCAACATAAGAAGGAAATGGAACTGTTGGAACAAGTCCAGAGGAGGGCCACGAGGATGATCAGGGGACTGGAGCACCTCCCGTATGAAGACGGTCTGATAGAATTTGAGCTGTTCAGCCTGGAGAAGGCTGCATGGAGACCTCATAGGAGCCTTCCAATATCTGAAGGGGGCCTACAAGGATGCCAGAGAGGGACACTTCATTAGGGACTGTAGTGATAGGACAAGGGGTAATGGCTTCAAATGTAAACAGGGGAGATATATAGGTTAGATATAAGGAAGAAGTTCTTTACTGTTAGGGCGGTGACACACTGGAACAGGTTGCCCAAGGAAGCTGAGAAAGCTCCATCCCTGGCGATGTTCAAGGCCAGGTTGGACAGTGCCTTGGGCGACACGGTTTAGTGTGAGGTGTCCCTGACCATGGAAGGTGGGTTGGAAGTAGATGATCTTAAGGTCCTTTCCAACCCTAACCTTTCTATGATTCGATGATGCTATAACACTAACATGTTATCTTGACTTGAAAAATAAAAGCAAGGCACCCACTGCAGAATATGACTGGAGTTCATTTACCAGAATTTGAGGGCAACATCCACCGCTATTCACCAAAAATATTTTAAATACAGTAGTAATATTGTACACAACTGTTACCTTACCTTTAGCGTTAGATCAATTAGAGCATTATAAAACAATAGCATTTTTCAGCATAGCACAGGACCATAGGTAAATGTCACAGGGACTGTGAAAGACGGTACATGAAAAAAAGAAAATTACGCAAGAAACCTTGAAACACAAGTAAAAACCCGCAAGACAAATCCTTGTGACAAAATGACACCAAAAATGATTAAATCCTACGTTTAGATTAATAAAAACTCATAAGATTCATAGTTGTTGGGAAACTTTATCAGTTTAACGTATGCCAGCACATGGAGTAAGTGGCAAGTTCAAAACCAAAAGGACTGTGAGATAGAAAGAAAAAGTCTAATAGATGCTTCAAATATTTACTCTGGAGCAAGTTGTAACGAATTCAACTAAATCTAATTTTTTTTTAGTATAATTTTTATGAAAATCAGCTAGCTAGAATCTAAGTTCTCCATTAAGTAACACCAATCTGTAAACAGGCATGGATCATTGTCATGGTTTAAACCCAGTCAGGCAACTCGTTCACTCACTC